CCATGAAGTTATGGGCATTTGTTGCTGACAAAGCATAATGTTTAAATATGTTATGGTCCAGGAATGATTTGTAGTTTTTTTTTCTATGTTGCTCTAAGTTTTTTTGTGTGGTTATTCCTACATAATATTGACTGCGGAGACATTTTAGTAAGCATAGTTGAAGGGGCGTCCCAAAAAAGAAGGGAGGTGAGCAGAGGCACTTTAGATTAAAATTCAGGGTTGGGACATCTTTTTCTTGAAGAAATAATTTATTGGATCAAACAAGGAAATCAGGTACAACATCAAAGAGTTTCGTGGTTCTGTAATGACCACTTCATTATGAAGGTGTTTGGCTGGGAGGGATGAAGATGAAGAAATGCCTGCAGTATCCTATTAGAGACACTTGCAATTTAGAGTTTCCCAACTTTCCCCCCTGATCTCTCCAGGCTACACCTTTCCTGCGATAAGAGGAGAAAATAGTTATAAAATATCACTATAATTAATATAAGATTGCTTTATTTGTCTGGAAAAAATGTAAAATGACAACAAAATTTTGTAGTAATTGTCAGTCAAACTACCACAGCACCAAAAGCCGAAAAAATCCCTGGTGAGCAAGGGGGTGCAACATGCTGGTAATGAGGTGGTTAGGATAGGTTTCAATGCATAATATATCTGGTAATACAATTGATACTGTAATCTTGAGATGTGTTTAGTTGTTGGATTTGGGCATAATAGGGTTTCTTTATTTAGGCTTATTGCTTTAGCTCTAAAGTTTGGAATTAATGTTTTTGGCTAATGTTTCTCTCTAATTTTTCTTGTCAGTGATGGAGATTGTTTGTCCTAGTCTTTAAGAGTAGTGCAGTTCCTTCATACCCTTGAAATTGGTTATGGATATTGGATATGTTAATTTCCAGACTTTTAGATAACCACTTCCAAATTAATTATAGATGTTTGCATCACTTTAAAAGAAAAAAGTTCTGGAAATCATATTTAGGTAATCAGTAACGTACAGTTGGAGGTCTAAAAAAATATCAGTGTTGTGTGGGTCTCCATGACTGGTGAAGGTGAGTGATCTGCATTGTTTTCGAGATATTGTATGATGTCTGGAATTGAATTAGAGCCTCCTCCCCACATTATTGATAGGTTGTCTATATATCTGTGGTAAAAAATAATATTGGGAAACCATTTCCTTATGGTATTCCCCAACCCCACTAATGTAAGTTAAAATAAGCGAGTTTTTTTGCATCCAAACTATTTTGTATTTTATAGGGATGCACCAATACTTTTTGAGTACCAGTGCCGATACTTGGCATTTTCATGAGAACTACCAGGGTTGCACCGGTTGCAGCTGGGACCTGGCTCTGGTGCTCCACCACTGTCCTGAAATCATTAGTTGATATTGTTTTAGAAAAACTGTCACATGACAATAAACAAAAATGTATCAGTACGCGTACTTGGGCAAGTACCAGTACTTGTACTCGCAAAACTGGTATCTGTGCATCCCTTTATTTATAGTTTAAAAAACAAAATCACACATTTAAACAGAGTTGTACAAATCCCAGGAGCTCTGTGTGCTCCTTACAAATGGCAGCTGCCTCCTAACTTTTGAATTTTTCTCTAGTCTAGTCTGGGAGCTCAAAAAGTATTGGTACATGTACTTGTACTTGTACCGAGTACTGTGCTTGGTATCGGTGCATCACTAGTATTTTACATTTTTAACCATACTACACCATTAGGGCTCAACCACCTTTCCCTCTGTTTTCTTTTTCTATGTGTGTACCTCAAGGTTTATATTTTTTGTGACCTGGAGAACAAAGTTTGGGTTCAAGAGTGTTTAGTAGTAGTTATCAATTGTGAACCAGTGTGCTGCGCTTGGTATTGTGATACGTGCTATATTTAAGTAGTAGTTAGTCAGCTGCACCAATCCAAGCAGATTCCTCGGTTCTAATTACAGCCAGTATTTCTCAGCAAATTATCACATTTAGTGGTCACCAACCAAATTGCAGAATAGTTTTTACAAAACATTTTTCTTTTTTTAAAAAGGTTCTGAATATGAGATGATTCTGTTAATGGCTATCTGTTGTACTTTCCTACCTCACAATGTCACAGTGGCCTAAAGAACAATTGACTTTAAAAGGTAATAACTTAGAGGGGTTGATTTAAAAAAACTTCAGCCTAGCCATACAGCCATTAATAAAGCAGTTGCAAAAAACAAATAAAAACACTTACCTGCTTCAAATGCTTTAGGGAGGTGCAGGTTTCATCGACATGCCTCTCCGCTGCCTCCCGGAATAGCTGTGCCCTCAAAATATCACAAGATTGCACTTCAGCCCATTGCAAAAGTAACACCTTGTGGGATTTTAAGTGTCCAAGTATCACTAGAGGCAGCAGTGAGGAACAGTGACATCACTCACACCTTTTTGGAATTGTTGGAAGCCACTGATGAGGTTTTTTTTCCATTTTCAGTTACAGATTTATTTTTAAATTGCTTTTGCAGGGGATTTGAGTTTTGGACAGTTGGAGGGCTTGCAATAGTGGGAAACGTCAATACACAATTGAAAGCATTTTGGTATATCTGTTCAATAAGTATTCAATAAAAATACCAGTTTAGTCGTATCAGCTGATAACTTGTAATCTGTCTAATTTCTGTAATTTCTGACTGTTATTTTTTAGCAAGGTTTCCAGTTGTCTCCCTGGACTACAAAACACCTATCTCATGGAGGCAATGAGAGAGGGAGATGTATTGTAGTCCAGTCCTGGGGTGAAAACGCTGCTTCTGCATACATACATTATGGTGAGTGAGTGTTCTCACTCTAGGACAGGAAGCATGTTACCGACAGAATCATCAGGTGAAAATAAAATAAACAAAGCTTGAAAAAAGTAAACTAATGCAGCCACCACATCTAACTAGTAAGCTGAAATATATTACTTTTTTTACTTGTTCTTGAGTTTGGATACACTCTAAAATTATGGTACACTTGTACCCTCTACACATGTGCATTTCCTGTGCCTGGGAGCACAGTGTGCTCAGACATTACCCCCCAGCCTGATATCAACTTGTATTGTTACTATATTTTATTATATACAGTATATATGGATAGATACAGTATATGATATATATATATATATAGAATATATAAATTGTCACAAAGGGATACACAATTTTGTGCCATACACAACACCTGTGTTGCACAATGCCTGTGCTGATTGTAATGCTCGCATAGATCCGCCCACCTTCAGGGGGCAGATCTATGCGAGCATTACAATCATAGAGACAGAAGCTCCAGTGGACACAATCCATATGCAATTGCCTTAATAAATTTATTCTGACATACTACACTATGGGAAGCCTTTTTTTCTCTCTCTGAGCACAAGAGAAAAATAATCAAAAATCTGCCACTTTCGCAGAATATTAAAATAAACGTCTGGGTTTGTACAGGGTGACAGGCACAGACTACTGGAACCTAGTGGTGACTACCTTCAAATAGCTTCTCGAGTTGGCCCACCAGAATGATGGGCCAATTGCAAGACAAAGGAGGTGGAACCAATGCTCGAATTACCCAGGAGTAGTTCCTATTTGCATTTTCATTTGTGCTGAGTTTCAGGAACCTGAAGCTGTACATCCAGGGACATCTAGGTGCTGTATGTATTTAGAACAGTTTACTAGCTTGTAGGAAACCACAGATTTAAACAAAATATTTTTCTTTAGAAGTATTGCATGTTACTAATCAAAGCAAAATCCTTTTATAGATAAAATACATTTTTTATGAAAACTGTAATAAATGTAAGTAAATAAAAACATTTAACTGCACATTTATATTAAAGCCTGTAACACAAAGTATGCAACAATCTCTGCAACCAGTGTAGGGTCCCACAAACACATGCAAGAACCTGTTTCTGTGCTACTAATAATCCTGGTTTTCTTACAGCAAAGCAAGGTGGTTAGCAGATGCTTGAATTGTATGTTATTTCTCATAATAGTAGGAGTAGTGAGGTCAGCTTTTTACACACAGAAGGCAACATAATTACTGTATACATACCCCTTGATGGCAATGCACCATCAAACTAAATGCAGAACTTGCAGATTGCCCAGATTGTTCTGGTAGGTATATCTGTTGAGAGTGACTGATGTTGCATCACATCTTTCAGTAGGCACGTTATATATAGTACATATTTAACATTTTCAGAGCTTGTTGACTTCAGTTTGTTGGACAAAGTTGGATAAAGTTGTTGAAAGTCAATAAAGGTTAAATAGGGATTTACATTACTTTGAGTAGAGATTAATGTAGATAGTACTCATTAAGGATTTAGCGATTTCTGACTATATTCATTAAGTGAATGTAAATTTTTCTAAAAGATAAAGCATACAGTAAATTCATAGCACAAATAAACTCATAGGTTTAAAGTTGAACTCCAGGAAACCCTTGACGTAAAGGCCAACTCCAGGTAAATTGAAAGTTTTCCCTTGCAGAGGGGCTGCCCCAGAACTGCAAGGGTTAACTGCTCATTTACGCCTAGGGGCCAGGAAAAAGTTGTTTCACTTATCTAATACTTTCTCACTCGGAAGTTGGCGCTCTCCTTTTCTCCCCCTCTGCTCTAGCTGTGAACTGTCCCTAAGTGTCGTCATGTACAATGCAGAGCTATGGATTCTGCATTGTACTTGATGATGCCAGTGGTCCTTGGACTGCTGGAGAGAAGGGGAGAAGAGAGACTACAGGGAGTGGTCTAGCATCCAAAAGGGAGCAGGCAGAAGTGAAAATTAGGTAAGTAAAACAGCTTTTTCTTGTCCTCCAGGCATAAATCAACAGTTAATCCTTGCAGTGTGGGGGTAGCCCCACTACAAGTGAAAACTTTTAATTTCCTTGGAGTTGGTATTTAATGAATATTTAACTCTTGCAGACGAGGGGGCCCCATTGCAGGGTTATTTTTTTGTAATTCCTGGTGTTCAGCTTTAAGCATCTGCTGCTGAGAGTGAGTATAGTTTGGTAGGCTTTAAACAACAATATTAACCAGTGATCCAATGCTGTACATGGTAATCCAGCCAACAATGGGTGGTCTGACAAAAATCTGTAGTCCAATGGCAGTCTGCATACAAATAGAATGTGTAGAAATACAGGAATATAAAAACTTAGCACGCATATTAACTGTCTGCAGAAATGTAAACAATCTGCTGTATATATGGTCATCCGCTCATTTTGGTCCATCAAACACATAGCATCCAAAATTGAAAGCATGTCTTTATACAGGTTACAGTGGTCTGATGACACAAGAATTCAAGTTATATATGCACACTGCTTCCACTGAAGATTATGTGCAATTCATTTGTACAAAGCACATTTGCTTATTGCTCATGATAAAGCTGCAATGTTGTCCAAGCTAACTGTTATCTCTGGGCCCATTATTTTGCTTGTTATTCATCTATTCTCAGGGTCACATCTGTGAATGCTGCTGGACTGGGTCCATTAGCGGTTGTGTCATCGTCCGTGGGTTTAGATGAGGTCTCTTCTCCTGGAACGGTTTTGGAAGATGGGGCTACTTTGGTTTCTAATTCATTCTGTATTTCCAGCTTATCTTCCTGTTTGGGTGATGATTTGATCTGACCATTTTGAGCAGGCACAGTGCTGGCCAATGCATCATAAAGGAACTGATATTGTTCCTAAAAAAGGAAGAATGTTTTAAAAAGCCATTAGACTTTGTAGTAGACAAATAGTTAGAAGATAGACAGACAGTTAGGAAAGATAACGGAACTTTAAAATAAACATGCAATAAGTGATTATTGTTTTAGTACTGCTCAAATATTATATGATTTACTCTAGAACATGTACATTAAAAGGACACATGCACAGCCAATAACAATATCTTTACATCTCTGACATTAGACTCAATTTAAACATTGTTAGCACACAACCATTTTAGTATTCTCTATCCGTGTTATAAACTAATCCTTATTCATAATTCCCAAATATATGGTTCTTTTAAATCTGGATTCAAATTTGTTTAAAATGAAAAGATTTTAATTATTAAGGATGCTAAATTAGTTTTTCCTACATGGTGCAAAAAAACCCCAGATCTTTCAGTTTTATTGACCAAATAATGAAAATTAACTTTTATAACAGTGCGTATTAACGAGATGGACTAATGTCCAATACATGAATGCTATGCTACTGTACAGTCAGGACCAGATTTACCCTCCCTGCCGCCCCAAGGCCGGGTTCGGTAGTGAAACCAACCCACCCGTCCACCCCCCGCCGAGAATGCCAATTGTTTTTGTTTCTTTCATTTTCTTTTCTTTTTTTAATCACTTTTTAATTTTTTTATTTATTTTTCTACTTTTTACATTTTTATATATCTTGTCATCTTTTACTTTTTTATTTGTTATCTTATTATTTTTTTATTTATAATTATTTTCAGATTTTTTTAAATATTTTTCTTACAATTTTTTACTTTATTACTTC